CCGGTCAGGTGGAGTGCAGAGTGCAGAGTGCAGATTGCAGAGTGCAGCATGAGGCATATGCGAGAGGAGGATCTTCATATGCGTCTAACAAAGTATGACTGCGCATAAATATCGAATGTGTCACTCACTGGGTAACTTGCGTATCCTGCATATTCTTCCTGTGAGACTTCCCCTCTTATTTCCAGCTCAGGTGACCCTATTTAAGTACATGAGTACATGCTTACACATGTGTTTAGCCAGTTTGAAGGATGCAAGCAAGTTTTGCTAAGACCTCCAGACTCAATCATCTTTTTTCCTTTTTTCCCTTCCTCCCTTTTTTTCCTTCGCTCGACCAGGTTCAGCGGGAGGAAGGGAAAGCCTTATTTTGGGGCGTGGGCATTGGGCACATCTGAGGTACATACATACCTCAAGCATCTAATGATCTACCTTAAACATCTAAGCTTCCAGGCAAAGAACGGCTACCTTTCCTTTCTAGAAGCTGCAACATCGCAGGGATTGCATTTCTAGGTAGGTACTCGGTAGTGTAATCAGATAAAGTACATGTTCTCTCGTGGTAATAATTATCTTACTACCACCACTACTACCGCAGTCTTCACACTGTATACATATTAAAGTGATCACTACGTTTACATACCCCTTCTTCGCCAACTTTAATGCAATCAATCTTCTCAAACTCCTTGTGGACGCCCTTTAGGGACGGCCAAATATCTCTCAATTAAGGATAGGCGCCAAAAGCTCATTTGGATCCTGAGAATTCGATACCTTCAAGGCGCTTCACATGGCACTTGTTCATAGCTAGAAATACCTTTAATGCGTGCGCATAGTCCCAATCTTCTCATGCCATGCCATTGTCTCACTCTGAAGAATCCCTGCCCATTCCATAGCCTTGACAATCCCTCCCGCGAACCTACGGCCATGCTCACTTGACGTGCTCTAGCACTGCAGATCTCTTATCATCCCATGGCTTGTCCGCAGTAAGTTTGGTTTCTCTGTTACCACGACCACGTTCTTTTCAACCAGCGTACAAGGTGGCAATGCTGGAAGAGTCTATCATCAATCGTATCATTGGTGATTCCACCGCTTGCTTTTCCACTGTGCAAGACTTTTATGACGATACAGATTATTCCCCTCTTTATTGCCATTTCTCTCATCTGAAGACATTGGCACTGGTAATCTACTGACGCTTGGCAAAAAGCAGCTAAAGGTGTGAATTTCATACAGTCTCATCAGAATTCGAATTCTTCGACCTCTTACAATCTCACACGAGCCCAATCACCAATTCCACCCCACCCAATGCTAGTCCAGCTGTGACTTCCGATCTAGATCTAGAAAACCATACCAGAAGAAGCCGCGCTTGCCAGGAGCTCACGGACAAGGGGCCCAACCTTTACCCCAACAGAAACCCGAGTCCAACATTCAGCAACGACGTGCGCGACTGTGGGCAACGAAGCATATAAGGCAGAGCAACCGTGAGCGGGCACCAAATGCAGTTGGTCTTGAGAGCCCGCGGACCAGCGTCCACTGATCGTACAGGAACGCGAACAGCTGCAAACACCCTCGCTGGTTCAGCGGCTCGAGCACATTATCGAAGATTGGAACTATACGCGTGTGGTGCCGTCAAAGTCAGATTCCCTTGCAGAAAGGCCTTGCTAGGCTGATCCGCATCTAAGCCCACCGAGTGCAAGGACTAGGTAGCCGAGACGGACGAACATATCACACGCTCCCTCGACACCATTCAGAGACATCCGTGAACACGGGTTGAGAATCCCAAAGTCATCGAGGCTCAACAGCTGTAAGAGGTTGATGAAGACGAGACGTTTGACGGGTCCCGGAAGTAGCGAACCCCGGCGTAGTATTCCCCCACTTGACAGCTCGCTCTAACGGGTTTGCTGGGATTATCAGCACCCCGGTCTATCAACGTCTGTGAACTCTGGTTGAGCATCACAAACAGCTCGGAAGCAAACGGACTTGGAAGTAGCTTAGTCTTCCAATTTGGATCCTATCTTCGACACCCTTCTCTTGACGCTGCGACCCCGCTCTCAAGTTTCTTCTGCCCTCGTGCTTCTGACGAAATATTGGTAATAATACCTAATAATGTCTCGGCAATTGGTCTTGCAGAGCATGGCTAACCGAGGTGGACCTTGTGACAATCCCTGATCCCTGCTGATTCAACGGCCACTTAAACTCTGTTCGATTGATGCTTTTTTCTGTCTACGGTCTTTGAATGAAGCTTGATTTATCGCTGCCCCCTTTACCCCTTACCTTCTGTTTGTATCTCTGTGATTCAGGCGATATGCACCTCTCAAACCGACATGCAACAGGAGAAGACGGGTCGCAAACATGTGTTTTGATTAGCATTAATCTTAACATTAATATTATCATTCAGCAGACGTTTCATTGTTCGTTGCTCTTAGGTACAACCGTACTACCAGATGATGCACGCGAGGCCACGTTTCGGACTTAGCGGGCAAGCCCAAGCGCGTGTCCTTTAGTGCAAATGAAGGCGAAGGCCATTGGTCCCAGGACTCCCAGCCAGCGGGTTTTCCCCCCTTAAGAAATGAAGAATTAAACTCCCATCAAGCCATCGGGTGCTCCTTCTCCAAGTCGCAGCGGTCAAAGTAGCATTCCACCTATCAATCATCGGAGAGGCTGCAGAAGCCGAAGCTTCCCCAACCGATGCTTCGGTAGCGTCTTGATTAGGATTCGAAACATCAGCCCCTCTTCATCTCTCGATTCTCGATAGAGATTCGACGTCCTGAGTCCTGAGTCCTGAGTCGTTGAGTCCTGACGTAGAGTACAGTGTGCACAGCCTATGCCCTACAGGTGCAAAAGTCCATGATCCCCTGTGGCTAACTGTAATTTGAGCCACTAAGATAACACACCACCCAAGACTTGACCACCGTAGCGTAAAAATCTGGAAACGCGCCATCATCATTCCTGCCTATTTTTTCTCTTTTTTTTAATATTGCAGGACTTTTCCGTAAAAAACAACAAGATAGGTAGAAAAGATAATCTGCCTCGACGAATCACATTGACTCCTTTTTTCCTTTGCACTTGTGCCGAGGTGGAAATCTGCTCTGCTGGTTATCCAACGGTCCCAGCCTCACGTGTGTCAGATACTCGCCCAAGCCATTTCTGGGCAAGGCCCGACATTCGACTGGCCGTGTAAGGTACATTGGTCAGCGCGCGACACAGAGAGATTTTTTTTTCCCTTTCTTTCTTTTGACTCTACTTACTTGATCTATTTCCAACCTCTATGCTCTCTCTCTCTCTCACTCTCACTCTCACTCTCACTCATACGTACTACGAGCTACGGGCTACGGTAATCGCAAAGAAAGGTAACTTTCCTCCGCTCTTGCATTATTAGGCGCACAATTGCGCTGGTTGGAAGTGGGATTTTGGCACGAATTGTATGACGCCAACTACATAAGCTGCGGAATGGACGCGTTCGATTCGTCATCCTAGCTTGCCACACGGTCAAAAAACGATAAAGTATTGAATGCTGACTCGAACATTATTCATGTACAGCAGCAGCAGCAGGAGTATGCTTCACACCATTTATTAATCCTCCCTAAAACCTTGGCAACCGCTGCAGTCCTGCGGTCATTATTAGCCGGGTTTTACCATCTTTACACAGCGAGCTACCTTACCGTCTACCGTGTATCGTTACCCAACTTCTCCCCCCAAACGCGTTACAAATCTTTCAGACCTCATTCACCCACCAAACCAAATTCTCCTCGGTATTTCAAACTGTTTCGGAGCGTCATGGGCCAAAGCTGATGATCAAAGGAAGAAAGAAAAGAAAGAGCGAAAAGAGAGAAAAAAATCAAAAAGTATGGGAGCTCTCTACAAGGAAGAGCCGACGGGAGATCCTGTAAGTATCGCGATGATCCTTGATTCTCCAATCCCCCATACATCATTTCTTTCATCTCATCTTCATCTTCATTTTCATATTTTCACTCTCATTTTCATCTCCAACACGTCGCCCCCCATCACTTTCCTTTTACAACTTGCCCCCAGCGCGCATGAGGTTGCGTTGCGCTTTGCAGCTGCGTTGCATGAATACCTTCTGACTGGCCGGGAGCCAAGTTTACATGGTATGCATGTGCCGGGACTACTGCTGCACTTGAGCAAGCTTCCCTGCAAGAAAGGGTCTTTTAACATCCTTGAAGCGGTCAGGTCCTTGGAACTTCCCTGCACATCACTCCACACTTCACCTTCGAGCTTCTATACAAATCCTCTACATCATCTGCCTCAACGCCTGTCAAATCACCCTCCTTGCCATCGCTTCCTCCTTGCCCACTTCGCTTTCGCTCTCTTTCTCGTCCAACTGCTCATTCCTTTAGCATTACCTTGTTCAACCATTCAGGCTGTGGTGTCGTCGATTGCATCGACAACTGAACTAGCATCATCCTGTAAATGCTCCCCAGCTTATATGATGGATCCTCCTTGTCCACCATAAGCGTCCCCTGTCCTAGCTTCACGTGGATGAATGATTGCCGATTTCCAATATCGCTACATCAACGCTTCCATTATACGTCCTGCCTTCAGTCGGCCCTTGCTTGCGCTTGCTTCAAAGGTCTATTAGCGCAGAATGTGAAGCTAATTCGTCTGTTCTATGCTACCAGCATCATCCTCTTCCGGTCCAGCAAGGCCCTGGTCCACAGCACCTGCAACATTCACGATCCACAAACATTGCTCATCAACAGCCGCATCCCGACTCTCCACACCAAAATCAACACGCCAACTCATTTCCCTCTCCACACTCTTCGAACCACGGTCTACCACTCCAGCACCAGTCTCCATACTCCCAGCCAGTCCCTGGCACCAACGGTCACGCTCCTCCAGAAGTATATTACGCACCAAGTCCCTACGGAACGCCTGTATCAGGGCACTTTTCTTCCGCAGGTACGCGTTTTATGCCAGCGAGAACCAGAGGGAACTTTTCCATTCACCAAGACTGGAAACACTGACCAAGTTTACCAGAAGCACCCGATCTAATGGCGGCTGCCCACATGCAGCAAAGACCATACCAACAACCAGTCTACCATACTCCACAATCCAATTCTCCAGCATCAGTCGCGTCATCACAAAGTCATGATCAGCATGGACGTATGTACGCCCAAGCCCCCGCGCAGATGCAACAGGTGTACGGCTACCCTCAATATCAAGTGCAACCGTCTTCATACCCGCAACACCCCGGGCAGCAACAACAGCAGCAACATCACATGATGGCCTCTCAACCTCTTCTTCCACATCAACAAGCCCAGGCTCCCATGGCGCACCAACCCTCCGCTCAGCAACCAGGGATAACGAACAGTCCCCGACCTCAAACAAAACTCGAGCCTGGTATACCGAGGCAGATGGATCCGGCCAGCCTGCAGAGATCTCCAACCGGGCCGATGGCCTCCAATCACAATGCGCCTACGGGCCCGTCTCAGAACGGAAATGGATTGCATCCAGGTCAAAGTGGAGGAGGAGGGGAGTAAATCCTAATTCCGCACCGGGGCCTATACCAGCAACCACTCCTCTCGTTGTGCGCCAAGACAACAACGGCGTTCAATGGATTGCTTTCGAATACTCGCGCGACCGAGTCAAGATGGAATACACTATTAGATGTGATGTGGAGTCGGTCAATACGGATAGCCTCCCACAGGATTTCAGAAACGAGAATTGCGTTTATCCACGGGCGTGCTGCGCCAAGGATAGCTACAAAGGCAATCGCCTTCAATACGAGAATGAGTGCAATACAGTCGGCTGGGCACTGGCCGAGTTAAATCCGTGCCTTCGCGCAAAGAGAGGTCTAATTCAGAGAGCCGTGGACAGTTGGAGGAACAGCAATCAAGACCCTCGATTACGTAGTAGACGAGTGAGACGAATGGCTAAAATCAACACACGAAAGAATGCAAATCACACAAATAATCACCTGGCTGGTCCACGTGACGTTGGAGGACAACCACCTAGTACGAATCCTATGGCGGCGCCCGTTCAAAGACCGCCTCCAGCGAATATCAGCATGGCAGGGCCGGCGCAGCTACACCATCACCACGCGCACCCTGATGGAAGCACAACGGGCAGCACAGATGATGTTAGCGGTATGTTTCACCAGTTGTCATGATGACTACGTGCGACCTTTTTGGCTGGACCAAGTTCATGGTTATGTACATTGCCAAGGCAGCTCGGCTGCTGCGGTCATTTAACATTCTTGTATGCTACTTCATGACGCCTGCAGCGATGCGGCCAACAAAACCAAATTACATACCTGAACGTAGGCTGACTCTCATGAAATTCCCACACTAATAGTGAATGGTGACTTCGATCCCCAACCACCACATCAGCAAGCTCCCAAATCTTTACCCGCCTCGATCCGTCCATCCAATGTCTTCCACGGCTATCAAGCCTACCCTCAACATCCAGCCTCGGCCGCCTCCATGCCTCCTCACCTCTCCAACGGCCTCGATCACTCCATGCCCAATCATGCCATCTCAACCTCCTCTTCCATTCCCACCGCAGCCACCAAAATCGAAAAGTCATCGCCATCTCCCGAGAAAAAGCACAGCTCCGTTTTCAGCGACCTGCCCGAAGCCAAGCGCCGCAAATTTATCCTCGTCGATGACACCGTACGCAAAACCCGCGTGCGCGTCAAGGTCAATCTCGAATCTGTAGAGATCGCTGAGCTCCCTGACTCTTACCGATGGGACAATTCTGTCTACCCGCGCAGTTGGTACCCAACGGAAATGCCTCCGAGTCCCCGCGCCAAGAGGGCCCGCAGGATCAGGTTTGTTGAGGATGATGCAGAAGATGGAGGCGAAGGTCAGGGCGACGGCTTAGGTGTTCCGGAGATGGGTCGGGGGATGCAAGTGGGAAGGGTGACTGTTCCCGTGCCGATGGTGGAAAGGAGGGAGGGGACGCTGAAAGTTCCGGGTTTGGGGAGGAGGGCCAAGGAGAGGGAGGAGAAGTTGAATGAATTGGGGTATCGAATCAGTTGGAGTCAGAGTAGGACGTTTGCGGGGAGGGTGGTATTCCTGCAGAAGAGCTGTGAGTTGCCTGCTTCTCCTCAGCCTGAAATAAGCTCATGGTACGGGGTATGAGCAAGCATGGGATACTAACGGAGGGTGCAGTGGACGCGTATAGAAACAAGGTCGGCAGTACCATCGCTGCCGGAGGCCAGGAAGTTTCGACCGTGGCGCCACATCTTGAGACGCGGACTGGGAAGAAGATGTGGGTGGAGAGGAAGAGTAAAAGGGCCAGAGGGGCAAAGAGGGCTGACACGCCTTGAATTCGTTGCTCAGCTGGGCCTACTCGCTGCTCGGACACATTCGATTCATGACTTGTGCTTTACTAAACATTGTACGCTTCTCACGATGGAGCGGAATGTGCCACCATAGGACAGAGATGGATGTCGGCTGCCTGGTGCACATTACGAGAATTTTCCATGTACAAAGGGTCGGCCGTTGTATAAAGGGAAAGGCGAAGCGAGATTGCTTCGAGACCAAGGCAACGCGAGAGAAATACCCACATGGTTGGAATCGTTGCGAAGAGAAATATGGTTCGGTTCAGGAAGCATACGTAGTCGCCAGTTCCCACAGCAGCTAGCTAGAATCAATGCTGAGAACTTCAGCTCGCCGGTTGTACCTTTTATTGTTAGTATCATCAAGCTTGTAAAAACAAGACGACATTCACCGTCGACTGTTGCAGTATATCTTTGTTTGGTTCTTTGCTTCGTTGCATGCGTATGATTCATCTCGACTAGCTTTCTCAAGCCATTTCAAACAGCAAAGTACTCGCATACAACAGAAAGAGGGGTTTCAGAACGCACGCCTTGCATCTTGCACAATCTCCACGTATCTTTCCTGTCCAGGCTATACGATCCAATTCAGCACTCCTTGCGAAACCTGGTCCCAGCCCCAACGAGGTCCTGTCAATCTCTCTCCTTTTCTCTCTATCCTCAGAATGGTTCGATAGGCTTAGGCGGCTCGGGCCCCATCAACAATCGTCTCTTCTCTCTGATCTCCGCTGTCTTCCGCGTGTATTTCTCGATCTCCTCCAAATCCATCGCCTTCAGCACAATGACATGATCCACATATTCGTTAAACCTGATCCCATCCTGCTCTAGAGCTTCTGGATTCACTAGCTTCCGGTTGATCTTCGTCCAACGCGCATTGGGCGGTACGTCTTTCTTGGGCATTTCCTTGTGCGGCGCAACACCTTCGCGGACTGTGTCGGGGTGCTCGGGGAACTTTTCGCGGGGTTTACGGAGAATGCCCTTGGGAGCCGGTGGAAGCGCCGGTTTTTCTTCGTTAGAGGGAGTGACGACACGGGGCTGGCGCTCGATCCTGTCGTCTTCGCTGTCGCTCGAGGAGGAGAACGAGGATTCTGTGTAGGAATCGTCATCGCGCGTACGGGAGTGGTGACGGCGAGGCGTGTAGCTGCGGTGGTGTCTGGGTGCTCGATCCTCGGGGCGGCGTTCGTAGGAGGCTTGCTCGCGAAGCACAGGCTCCACGGGACCGACGAACAACTCAGCATTCTCTTTTGCACGGCGCTCCTCAGCTCTTGCTTCTTCATACAAACGGTCCTCTTCTTCCTTCTCAAGCCTCTTGCGTCTCTTCCTTTCCTCCTTGTTTTCTTGAGTATCACCACTGAGACCACTGCTCACTGAGCTTGTATCCAAGTGATCACGCTCAGGTTCTCGCAGATGGTCCTGGTATTGTTTCGCCGGTAGGCTTTCTTCATCTCGAGACTCTTTGTTCTGGTGCCGTCGTACTCCTTCAGTAGCTAATCCCGCAGCGGCGGCCGCAGCTCCAGCCCCAGCGAGCAAGCCATTGCTTGGGCCTCTATCCTCGGCTCTATCTAGCTTTTCCCGGAAGTCATCACGCACTCTCGGATTTCTATCGTCTCTGTCATCATAATCTCTGCGGTGGTCATGGTCTCTGTGATGGCGCCTATGACGATGTTTCCTAGGGCGATCATCACCGTCCCGTTCATGGTCATCATCGCGAGGGTCTCTAATCCTTGGTTCCAGTCGCTGGTCCTCCAATATCGGTTTACGAGACTTTGGTCGCGATTGGTCGTTCTCTTCATCGCGAGGGTCGCGAATTCTTGGCTCCTGTCGCTCCTCCTCTCGTATGGTTTTACGAGGCTTTGGTCGCGGCTCCAGCGCATCATCCTCGGGTATAACTTTGCGAGATTTCGCACTCAAGTCCAAAGTCTCATCCTCAGGCGCAGGCTTGCGGGTTTTCGGTAGTAGCTCGAGCACATCTTCTTCAGGGCCAGGCTTGCGAAGCCGCCTTCGTGATTCTTCTTCCGGATATGGAGCGTATGCACCGTTGGACGGCTGGTGCAGGGCAATCTCTGGGCGAGAGGGTTTGGGATGATAGCTGATTTCGCGGTCATCGCGCCCATAATCCCTAAGAGCCCGATCTTCGTTTTTAGCATGATAACCTTGTCTAAGGCTCTGAGATCTTCCAATATTCTCAAATCCCCTTGTAGATACAGGTGGACCAGGTTCCCTATTTGATCGTGGAATATAATCTTCAGGTATGACCATGCTCGTTGGGCGACCACTATTGTGGCTGTCTCTCCTAGATCTCTGTCGATAAGAGTCCTGATACCTTGGCTCTCTAGCCGCTTCCGTGCTGTCAAATCCAAAGTCTCGATCGTTTTCGTCATGGCGTTCTCTGACCGATGGTCGACCCAGATTGGACTTCAGATAGATCTTTTCCCTTGGATCTCTGTCTGCAGGCATTAGCCGGCCTGAGTCTGTAGTACCTAATGAAGAGTGACGCTGATGGTGCCGTCTTGTGGAGGAAGAAGCAGGTAAGAGTTCGTAATCGTCATCTCGACGGTCTCTGCGCGTTGCTGTCACAGGGCTTGGAGGTCTGTCGATCGCGCTTGTGATGATTGGCCTAGAGCTCCGAGCGGGAGAACTCGGAACTACCATGCCCACAGGCCTTCGAATCCTTGGAGCCTCGAGTATTGTGCCTCGAGGACGAGGGCGAACGTTGTAATCGTCCTCGGCAGCACGTCGTGGAGGGCTGCGGGTCCGAAGGGGAAGGACTCTTGGTGCATCTACACGCTCTACACTGATGCGGGACCCAGGTGGGTAGTCCCTAGTGGAGCGAGTAGATGGCGGATAGGTATCAAAGGAGGAAGGGGAAAAGAAGCTGCTGGCGGACGTGCGACCAGGTGGAGCATAGCGATTCCTGGGTGGTGAGCCTGCCCGACCGTACCCGGAACTCATTGTTTCCCTATGGACTGTATGTAATTTGGCTTCACTTCAAGGAGTGGGAACAAGAGGGAGCTGGAAAATCAAAAGTCGCAGCTCGTAGAAACTCTTTTTATCTTCCAATTTGATCCAACCATGAACCCATATGTTACCAGCGCTGAGGGCTGAAGTCCGCTAATGCTGCATGCAGGGATGCGCCGCTGAAGCACGGGAGGGCCAAGAGTATGTCGACCTTGCAACGTTGGAAGTGTTTCGCCTTGGGTTATATCCAGTTCGTTATGGGATTCGGTGAAGGATGAGAAGTGTTCGTGAAAGTTTTATGAAGGTGGATATGGAAGATTTTATGTGCCCGAGTTAGAGTAGGTGAGAAGACATATGATAAAAAGAGAGTTCGGCTAATTTTACCTTATTGTAAAGAATGACGCAGGGCCACCGGGCAGCAAGTGTGGCAAGCGTTCCGTTCTCTCTGAAATTCCGGCTTCCGAGCTTACCGAGTCTACAACATAAAGTACTCCAGGGCGGTCTTTTGCACCGTGATCGTTTATGACCTCCGCTTACTCCATGTACATTTTTATGTGTGATGAACATGCCTCTAAAAAGAGAATCCTTACGACATGCCTCACTCAGTATGGTCACGCTCTGACGATATGAATTGGCTTGGCCTCTGTCCCCGTTCAGAGAGAGCCGTTCAATCTGTGTTTGAGCAACGCTCAACGGCCATGGCGGGACATTTCACCCTCACACTTCCATCCGAAGCTCGAGCCGAACCTTTACTTTGTTCCATTGGGCAGCAATGTTGTGTTCCAACAGTGCCAAACCGCACGTGAGAGCCCGCAATGTTGTAGATCGGACCCGATATATGATCCTCTCGTCGATCTTCGGATTTCGACGTAGGGAACGTGGCGCATGCAGTTCGGATTATTGCAGGAAGAAGGTCTACCATGTTTCAATTCGTAGAATCGGGCACCAGAGATTGCACTGTAAAGTCGAGCCTACGATAGCATTCCACTTTGTACCGGCTTGTGGTTATTTGTACAGTACAATGGCGCTTTGGAAACGATCGGAAGGTTCGGCTCTCAGCCTGGTCACCTCCAAGCTCTGTTTGCAGGTCAATCTTGCTGTTTCCAGGTGGGCTGCTGAATAAGAATAGATAGGTGCACTGAAGCTTGACCATTGAAGCCAAGCAGCTTATTAAATCCGGATCATGGGAATGGGCAAATGGCTCAAGAGCGTGGCCCGAAGCTAGAGAAAGTGTCAGTATCAAGACGACATGGCTCTCTCGGTGGGGCAAGGAACGTTCCAGAGACTGCGGAAGAAGCTAAAGTTGTGTCTACAAGGAGGACGCGCGAGACCTTCTTTGCAGGGGGATCATCCATCATGGTGCGATTTCGATGGCCTAGCGGTCTGCTGTCAAAGCTCTTATCACGAAGAGGGGCTCCCTTGAGAGTAATGAATAATTTGGAGGATTAGAAGTACATATACAGTCACCAGATGAAGAACTAGGAATGATCTCCGTCTTCTGCACATGCATAAATGAGCAGGAAGATCAATGCAGGGTAAGGAAGTCACTCCGCTACTCAGTCATAGGTCGGGATTCTGCTGGCTGCAGGGCGACCCAAGGTCTAGAATTCGAAAGACGAGAAGAAAGAAGCCAATGGCAAGCAGCCACGAAAACAGATGCAGAAGGGAGCAATGACGCGATAGGTGGGAAGAAGACAGACTGGCGGCAGGCGGGATAACGAATTTATCCCATGACAACGGACAATGCTCGTAGAAATAGAGTACAAGAATTATGGAAAACGGTACTGCAATAGAAGGGTTGTAGAGTACGTAGTACTGTGGAAGAAAGCAGAGGACATTTCTCTCGACAATTTTTGAAGTAAGCTAAAACTAGTGACTTGCAGAATGCAAGGGAGTGACTTTGGAAAAGAGGCGTCTCTTAGCGCGCTGCTTTCTTGCCCAGCAACGCCCGCCAAGACAGACCCTGGGTCAACAACAAATTCCCCAACTTGTGAGCCATGTTTTCCTTCAATCTTACCATCCTCACCAAAATTTCAATCATCCAAAACTTCACACTCTGAAGCTCCCCAAAATCACCAATAGAACCAGAAACATCAACACATCACTCATTTGACAGTCACGAGATCGAAGCGTGTTGCTGGCAAGTCGCCAAACTACACCTTCATCTCTTACTTCTCCACACCCCCCCCCCTAACCTGAAGCAAGAGTCTCTTCTTGTCTTCCTTTCGATTCGTTACTCATAACGGCTCGGAAGGCATTCGAGAAAAGACTCCTCCACTCTCGTCAAACTGGACTTTGACGCCAGAGTCCCGATCCCTTTCAGTGTCTTCCCGTCGTCGTACCGGAGCGACGCTGCTGTAGACACTACTCGCGTCAAGGTAGAAAGAGAGACCAACCAGCGCGTCGGACGGGAAGGTCACGAAACCAAGTACTCTTCTTACTCTGCCTCTCTTCCAGGCCGCAAAGATCGTACTCGATACGACGAGGAAGAGGTCAAGGTCTACGGAGAGGACCGTGAACGCCGTCCGCGCCGCAAAGAAGACGACGTTACTGTCTACGCAGAGGAAGACCGATACCGCTCAGACCGAAATCACCGCGATCACGATCACGCAGAAGTAGAGATCACCAGAGATCACCACCAGCGCCATCACAATCACCCAGACATAGAAGTTAGAAGAGATCTGTAAGCCTAGCCCTGCTCCCCGGTCTCTCCTAAGTTCATAGCCTCTTCGACGACAGAACACTAATACCTACATTTCTTGCAGCCCCCGAGATTCAGACCGCCGCTATACTGATACAAAGGTCGACATCGAAGTTCCTCACCACCACCGCCGCGAAGAAGAGATCGACATCACGGAACGTGATTATCGACGACGCCTTCACCCCAATTACGACGTTGAATTCGAGCGTCGTCATACCGGACCTCGAGAGGAACCAATCGAAGCCGAAACAATCGTAGAGCCACCGCATCGTCCAGATATGGGTTACTACGACGACGAAGGGCGCTACCACTCTATCCGTCGCGGCCTTGAGCATGCCGCTGACCGTGTATTTCACCCTTTCCATCCACAGCACGAGCGTGAGGAGGTGATTATCGAGAAGGAGGATCGAGAGCGAGGCCCTACCCGTGTCCGTGATGGAGTCCATGAGACTGTTCGTTATGTTGAGCGTCGTGGCGGGGTGGCTGACACCATTACCATCCCCTGCCATCACATCCGCATTGGCGATCTGTTGATCCTCCAAGGTCGTCCCTGTCAGGTCATCCGGATTACCACCTCTGCTCAGACCGGTCAGCACCGCTACCTAGGAGTTGACCTCTTCACCAAGCAACTCCACGAAGAATCAAGCTTCGTCTCCAATCCTTCCCCCTCGGTCATCGTCCAGAATATGCTTGGCCCCGTTTTCAAGCAGTACCGCGTCCTTGACATTCGCGATGACGGCCGCGTTGTTGCCATGACCGAGACTGGCGATGTGAAGCAAGGTCTTCCAGTCATTGATCAGGGTGGATTGTGGTCGAGACTCAACGACTCGTTCGCCAACGGTCGTGGCAGTGTTCGTGTATTAGTCATCAATGATGGAGGTCGTGAGCTCGCTGTGGACTACAAGGTGATCCATGGCTCGAGACTGTGAATCAGGAACAGGTATGACCCGAGCAAAATCAATGAAGCATCGATGCTGATCGTGAACAGCGCCTGCTGCGTCTTCCGAAAGGTGTGAATAGGGAGAACTTTGGCTATTGTGGACCTCCTTCAAGCTCTACGGTCAATACTCAAAGCAGACACAGGTCATGTATCTATAATACTGTGGCATAACGGAAAAGGCAGAGCCATACTGTTGGCGTGTGTCAACTTCCTTTCTTCATCAATTGTCATCACTTTGGGTACAGATTGAAAATAGGAGGAGCATTACATAGGTGCATTAGATTACATGAAGAGAAATGGAAAATGTGTCAGATCTACAGTGCTTTCAAACGACGAGGCCTTCAAACGACGAGGCCTCATGCCGCTTAGGTTTGCTACTTTGTTTTCACTCTGTTTTACTTGAAGCTTGTCACACCCAGTCCGGCCTGCATGTTGCTTCCCTTTTCTTAACCTCAACTCCTCTCGAACGGATTTGTACAAGACGGTACTCATAATTGGAAGCCGAGGCAAGCCTAGACACCAGAACGAAGATCGATTCGATTCCTATTGCAAAGACACATACAGCTCCCTTTCGTTCTCCATACCATTACAATCTTTCATCTTTACGACTCTCGATTGTTGCAGACCATGGAAGTCCCAGACTCAGCCTGCAAAAACTTCACCCCAACGCCCCCGTTCCCTAATGATGTCCCAACAGCACCCTTGCTGCGAATCTCTCTGAACAAGCTCCCTGAACAAGGACCAAGACGAATCGGGTCACTTCTTTACTGCCCATAAAGACTCGGGCTTTTTGTACCTCGACCTCCGTGGCGCCCTCCAAGGTCAATCCATGCTCAACAACGCAGACAAGCTCTTTGATATTGGGAAGCAGCTCTACGATTGACTTTCGGAAGGAAAGCAGAAATTCAACCTCAGCGCTCAAAGGTCATACATACGTGGGGTAAACCTTCTCATCAGAGACCCTGTTCCGGCCAAGCACGAATGAATGAAGAGCAGCTACAAAAGCTCCCGCACCTCCGTCATTGATTCAAAACGCGCAGCCTCGACCGCAACGGATCCCACAACGCCTCCAAAGAAGCCATCCTCCCCTCCCCTCCCCCCTCCCCACCTCTCTCCCAACATCCCCTCAGCCCGTCGAAACCTGCACGGAACCCTTCACCTGCCCACCCCACCCCATCGTCTCGCTTCTCCCCCCCACACATCTACCCACGCACCTGCGTCTCCCCACCGCACAATCCGCCTCGGTCGGACAACGGGGCTCGGGCGATGACGCCCGCTGCGTCGAGGCTCCTCCGCAGCCCGTCGACGCTGGTCGAACGGCGTCGGGCGAAGAGACCGACGTCGGCTCCGTCACCGTCCTCTCCGACCGCCTCGGAGGCCGGCCCGCAAGTACTCCCGCCGGGGGCGACGGCGCCGAATGGCGCCGCGTGCGCCCTCTGCCCGACCCACGCTGTTGTCAACGTGTGGTGGGGGGGGGGGGGTGCCGTGGTGGGATTCACCAACGGTCTCTTGCGCTCGCACATCCGTCGGGTCGTATCCCCACCGGGTGCGCAGGCTAGTCACACGAGATGTAGTCTTGCGTGCTTTGCGAGGCCGGGTTGAAGAGGTTGGAGGGCAGTGATGTGATACCGGCGTTGGCGGAGTGGGAGGGGGAGGCGCAGGCGGAGGAGGGGCTCAGTGCGAAGGAGTGGATCTCGGGGAGGGCGAGTTGTAAGAGGGTGGAGGGGACTGATGGAGTGAGTAAGAGAAGCCGGATGGGAAAAGTGAGATCTGCGTTAAGGAGTTAGGAGAAAGCTTGATCACTTGGGGCAGGAAAAGCATGATTTCGAAGTCCATGTCGACAGAGGCTCAAGTTTTGAAAAGTCTGTTGTGAGATAGGATACATATTAGCATCATTTCTAAGTGGTATAGATTGTCCATGGCGTGTTAATGATAACCGTTCAGAGATGGTACTCCATCAACCCCTAACCAACGCCTCCCCAGAGGAACCAAACACCGGCCATGCAGTCCCTTTCAGCCAAAGGATAGGAAGCCTCGCTTCCAATCAACGACTCAACCAAGATAACAAACTTTAACGAAGCCTGCCACCATGAATCTCTACTCCAAATAGCCCTAAACATAGTATGCAATCTCCAGATGTGTTACTCGTAATGTCTGTTGATAGTCCTCGCCGTCTATAGCAGCCCCCACATAACCATCAGGGCAAGAGGTATAGAAGCCATCCAGGTGACTTTGCTCGAGCAGAGAACCTCCGCATTCGATGTTTGACTGTTGGTACTGTAGACGTATTGGAGAGTGATATCTGAAGTATTCGCACAATTATCGGGCGTGACCTCCGGCACATCTTTAGGGTCCGCGAATGTGATATCCACACACTGTATTCCCACACGGTCAGCAGCCCGCTCTAAAAGCCTTCACATTCAAGAGTGCTCAGAAAGCTCCTAACGACTCACATTAAACAGGGCGGCTCCGTGCTGCGCCGCCTCAATGATCTGAATGGTCGCATTGGTCCCTACCACCGCTGTGTAATTTGCCGGCAGCGGCACCTGGGGCAGGCAAAACGATCCGTTGTACGCAAGGTTGTCTGGCCCAACGATGCCAAATACCGGTTGCATAATCAGGGAATAGTTTTCAGGCACTGTGCCATCGCCGAGATTGATGTAGAACAGGGCGTAGTTGTGGCCCTGGAACCAGCCGGGCTGAATACCGATAGCGCCGCCTGTTACAGGCCAGTTTGTTCTGTTGGTAGACATGGGCATGCCGCCGCCTGGGGAGCTATTAGCATCCAGCAGCCCACAAACAGATGGAATTACTGAGCGTACATGGGTAGATCCATTGCATGCCATAGGGATATGTATTGTCGTTGCCAACGCCGAGACCATTGGTGCCGGCTATGTCGCTTCCGTTGAGCCCAGTAATATTGCCAGTTGTATGCAGGTTATCGCCGCGCATGCCAGGGTATGTGATGACTGTGTGTGAGGATACGAGGGTGGAAAGTAGGGAGAGACATGTTGTCGCGACGAGGAGCAGTGAGTGTGATTTAAGCATTATGAAGGTTGTGGTGGGTAGCGGAAGGTAGTCTCAATCCCCGTCAGCAGAGCTATTCAGTCTTTGAGGGGAGAGGGAAATTTGGTGAAACGTGCTTGGGCGATAGCGAAGCCTTGAAGGATATGTAAGAATAGATGGAGGGACAGAGCAGGGAGGCAACGTAGTGCTGTGCTTTTTTTCTCTTCCTCACACACACCTGAAGCTGTAGCCGCGCCAGTGTCGCTGAACAGTTGAATGGATCCCCCACCTTCCGAGCGACCAGAGCATGATACCTAGCACTTAGCACTGAAAGGGACTGAGAGCAGCCGCTGATTGGGGAAAAGGGATGTGGTCGGCGGTTGGAGAAGAGCTTGTCAGCACTCTGCATGCAGAGAGATCACTCTTCAACCAATGACTGCAACGATACCAGCTGCAATATGTCACGCTAACAAGCCCTCGGCGGCAATACCTTACCATACTGAGCATAGCTTCGGGGGCCTCTAAGGTACCGTACGGTAAAATTGCAAGACCCCTGGTTGAGTAAGACTACAAGCAACAAGAATCGACATATCATAATGGAGTTGACTGGGAGCACTTTCATACTACCTACTCGTACTTGTGCTCACCTTGCATCGACAACAAGTCTTTTCAACGGCGTGATGCTCCATGTTCCCGCCTTGGCACCCCCCACTTTAATCCGTTTAATGGGCCGAGCCTTGTGTTTGTTCCCCGCATGAACATATCAAAAGTATATACACATGGCCAAGAAGTTATCAGATATACAGTAACATAACGCTGCTTGCTACAAAGGACTGGCGTTCAAGGACTAGTCATAGAGTATACATTATCAATGAGGTTTCATGCACCCTTCCCCAGAATGTCCGACCCTAAACACCGTCATGCTCATGCAGACACGCACCACCGCGTCCAAATCTCGCTGGCCCAACGTATCTGGGCTCCAGCAAAGACAATGGAGGGTTTTCTTTCCCGAACTCTGCCGACCTCAGTGTCGAATGAAATGGCCGGTCTTGTCCAAAGCCCGGTGAAGGATTTGCGTACGTCGCATGTGAATCGAACCTCGCGTTCTGCCGTGTCCGAGGCGATTTCTTCATCCCGAATGAGCTATCTCCGTTCTCCAGATCAGGCAAGTACTCGTCCAGACTCTGATATGGAGCTTTCCTTGGAGATGACGGCGAAGGTGGGCTCCAAATTGGGGAAAGAGGACCCCCTTTGCTGCCGTTGCTAACGAAGTTGAGGGTCCTTAATGACTTGGTGCTCGTACTTTTCGCATGTGACGTATGAGCTTGGACGTGGGTAAGAACAGGCCTCATCGTTGGTAGGCAAGCTGCTATGACCGAACAGCATGACTCTACCGTGCTCCAGACCCCTAAGCCGAAGCCAGTCCAACTTTGATCTGTCAAGGTCCAGTCTGTCTTGAGTATTGCGTGTATGCGGACAGCGGCTGGGTTAAATTTTCACCGTTAGTACTGCCTATTCAACGGGGAGACAGTGAGCCTAAAACATATTTCGAGAGCAAAATCTTCCAAGACATGTCCCAGGACTCAAGATCTGGTTCAAGATAAGAAACATGAGCTCCGAAGATACGTACAGGTGGCGCAGACACTAGGTTAAACAAGTCAGTTGAACGTTCCTGCGAAAAAGGAGCCATTGAAACGGCTTCGAGAGACATACAAAGCTCCAAGAAGGAAGATACCCGTCAAAGAAATCTTGATCTTTCTGGTGACTTGAAGCTTCCATATCATTGGAAGCGGAATGATCAAGAACATGATATCGAGGATCATGTTCGAGATCCCGGTGCCCAGCGCAGAGGCTCTAACATCCTGGCATTTGGGATCCCTTATGCTTTTGTCCCAGATGGCTTGTACGGGTACACATTGGAATATCGAGTCCAGGATTGCAGCGATCCACCACATGATGGTCAACGCACCAGCCACACAAAGTGCGATTCGGAACCATTCGACGACTCCGAAGAGGCGGTGGTACAATAGCAGAATCGAGACTTTCACGAGCGCTTGCGCGCAAAAGTAAATGGTTTGAGTGGCAATTAAGCTCTGCTCCTTGTCAATACGATATCCTGCGGGACGATCGGTCTCATCGTAAAAAAACTCACCTTTGCAAAAGAGGTGGATTGCCATGGCTTCAGTACTTCCTCGCGTCTCCCGAAGTTCAGGGCGGCAGTTTGGTATAAAAGCAAGGCGGACAGACCCCACTCAACGATCTTCATACTCGGTCAGAGCAGTCATCCATTCTCCACGGCACTTTACACTCACCAATGCTGCAACAATCATCCAATCATCCCACCACAGGTACGCCTTAGCGAGTCGCCTACATAGTAAGCGAAGCGCAACTGCACTCGTCGCGGCTAGAGTGACAACGATGCACGCTGCATAGATGTTTGGTTGAAGGCTCTGCGCCAGGAAGGCTGGAGTTACGTCTTGATCTGTGGTTGGAGGTCCGGCCTCGTTGCCAACGGGTGTTTCCATGTTATTTGGGGGTTGAAAGTAGGTAAGATGAATTTTTCAGATGATGAACATGGCGGTTGATGGCGGGATGTCGCAGATGTCGTTGAGGCACACGGTTCTCCCCTCACCCTCGTGTCGACTGCGGGAGCCGCCATGGGCTTCTTTTAATATATCAGTACTCGATTAGATGATTAGGTACATGCCGTGTGTCATAGCTGTTGTTGGGGGTATCTAGTTCGTATTAGGTTCGAATCCTAATGGCGCTGGTACTCGTACAATGGTGTTGCGGTGCTTCTTACTCGTGCCGTCCACACGTGAGTTATCTCGCTTAATAGCGCCGGGAGAACCCACCAATCAATCTACCCAGATCTCCTGGAAATTGTACTAAAATACATCTTATTTTGTAGAGAAAGAAGCTGATAGAGCGGCACACTCTCCTATCAAATATCAAAAATCAACGAAATGACAACAATGACAACTACATATGTGTGTACGTGGCTCCCTAGGCCTTTCTACTACTCAACTGACTAATCAGGGACCCCAAATAACTTCCCTACCGAGCACCGTCGTCCTCGAGTGAGGGCCAAGACGCTAAAATTTTAGCCGGATAACTCATTTCTGGACGGCACGAGTATTTTCTGGCAGCGCCATGAGCCTCAGGGTCTAAAGTTCTTTAACCGGGAACAGCCGTTGGTTCGAATTCCCCCGGTGCTTTCATGCCCGGAAAATGTTCGTTGGTTGGCTTACCGTCCGGGGGCGGACGCCTGTTGGTTGTGGTCGTGTTGTTGGGGGTATTTAGTTCGTATTACCTAGATTCAATTCCTAATGGCGCTGGTACAATGGTGTTGCGGGTGCTTCTTTATTTTCTATAGCATCATTTTCAGGGATTGTGGGGATAGAATTGAACCAATGGTGGTATGGGGGGAAGTTGGAAAAGAGGTGTTTTCAGGCGGGATACGACAGTAGTGGCATACTCTCTATCATCATACCGTACTTTACAGTTTATCTTGGCATATCAGCCGAGCGTACTACCCATCAACCTAGAGTAGTACAAGACGCCGGATTCCGAGTCCAGGGCTTCAAAACACTTTGTTTAGGGTACCATCGTGCCATCCAGTAGTGTACTGACTAACCTCGGGCTTATTCCATAGTCCAATCGCCTTATATACGTATTCCAAATCTCTTCTTTTCAGCATTCAGATCAGAGCCCATGAGTACGCCAGACATTATTAAGGTATTCCTCGGCCACATGCTCTTCTACGGTAATATATATGAAAAGTTCCTTTAGTGCGCTCAATGAACCGCGGCTATCTTACCTGTAGCTCTTTAGCTGCCCCAGTTTCAATGTTGGACTTTTGCCCGCTCACCCGTGATGCTTAACATCCACTGTAAGATAGAAAGTTGAGTGAAACCTGGTCGACTTTGGTGAGAAGAGTAGTGCTTCAGGAAGGTGTAGCATACGCCTGTCAATCTCGTTGATGCATCAAAGCCTTTCAGCTGAGCTGGACAAGACGAAGCCCGGCAAGGATTTCGGCTGCTTTGGCGCTGCCCAAGCCTGTTCACAGTGAATTAAACATCACCACTCCCAAACTAGAAGACTATTTGGGTCCGAGTACCTTGGATATCAGCAGCGTAGCTCGACCAAGCATGGATTGCCACGAGAGGACTACTGCTGATCAGAATCGAACCAAGAGGCGAAATGCAAATACTATCGGCCATGCAGTCATCTCCTTTCAGTGACACTCGACCTAGCTGTGGGAAGCATCCACTTCATTTAGGTTCCCGGACTCCCAACGCAGAAAAACCCTTTGTCGAAGCATTGGGAAAAAATCAGACACCATGACTCGCCGCAAAAAGCCACCGCCCCAGCGCAAACTTCAGCAAATCACCGACTCTTCAGGCTGGACCCACGTCATCAAAGGCCCTCCAGGCACTGTCAATGCCGGGACTACTGGCATACGTCTCGAAGATGGAAAATCCACGGGAACGAAGTATACCCTGGAGACATATCTAGACAGATTCCGGAAGCACTATGCTCCCATCTGGCAAGGATCGGATTGTTTCAAGAGCTTGTCACGTATGTTCGAGCAAGACATACTACCTGCGGAGAACATCCTGATTACACAGTGCGTCTGTCTGGGCTTGGGGAGCATGACGGCTGGGTCGGAGAGTTCGTCTTATGAGCTTGCGGCTTTGATTTCCATCCTCGAGATGCTAGGTCCTGGTGCCCCAAACATGGAACGCAGTATCCCCCACCGGGGCCCAGCTGATCCAGATCTACAGGCAAGGAACACCACATCCAGGACATCGTCTTTCAAGACCCCGTCTTCAACGCGCTCGACCACACCATTCTGGAAAGTCTTGGCTACACCGTCGTCCAAAGCCCTGACGCCTTTTCCAAGCTCAACGGCACAACGTTTCTCTTTGCGCCCCACCTTGAATGTTTCCACTACGCTACCGCTTTGGAGACCGCAACGCCCGTATTGTCCGTTGGCTCCGATCCGCAGATGTATGTTGAAGGGTAAGCGATCCCCGATGCCACAGAGTCTCGTCTCGTGCGGCGGTATTGGAAATGTTGGCTTATTAAAATATCCAGTTTGTTGTCGTCTCTGGCGGAGAGCACGAAGAAAGGGTCACGTCAGATCTTCCACGACTTTTTAGGAAAGACTCGTTCGAGGCCTATGCCCGACTTTGACAGAACTCCTTGGTGCGAGTCCACATGCATTTACTGGGTGAAGTCAGAGAAAGACGATTCGGGCAAGAGTAAGATCGAGGAAGCCGTCCGGTTGATGTAGATGGTAGATGGCAGAGCTCTAATGCTGTACTATGCTATGCTATGCTATGCTATGCAAATGATAACTTCTTTTGTATCTACACTTACAAGTCTCCAAGCACGAGACTCAATACGTACAGAAATTTTCCCAAGCTACCCGAATATCTGGAGATCCCTCATAGCCATGAGCGCTTCGATGCAACGTGCAAATGTACAATCGACCTCCCATCGCGCATCCGGATGCTTTTTCATGCTCAAAACGCCAAGAAGTCAGCTCTGCATGGTGCCAGTCAGCTACGTGACAGTCTGGCCTCCACAATTGGGGATGGTCAATCCAGGCTTCAAATTTCGACCCGGATCCATCAAACCCCATTTGTCTTCCCATTCCTTGCCAGGCGTATTGAGACTCTGTTTCCATGGCTCATCGAAAGCTTCGAACCTAGAACGATCGAAAGCCATTAGCTGAATGCGATTTTTGAGCGATAGAAGATAGCACTGACCAGAAGTAGTTCGTCTTATTGGTTAGACTTTGACAAACGAAGGTATCCATGTAGGTGTTCATCCCATCAATACCCGCCACACTACCATTGACGCAGGTACTGGCCTCTCCACAATCCGTACCACCTCCACTCGGCCAACCGGTCTCAGAGATGACATTCTGCTTCGTCGTCCCATTGGTCAGGACTGTATCAAAATCCTGCCAGAAATCCCAAGTCCAGCCAGCTGCTATTTCCGCCGCAACACCTGCAAAGAACGGATGGATGTTCGACATGACATAATCAACGTTGTCGGTAAGGGCCGCGATCCAATTATCACCTAGATCTGAGGTGGCGATATCAAGGTCAATTTTTTGATTTGTGAAATTCGTCTTGACGCCTCCGAGGAGATCGCTCAGCTGTGTCTCTGTCATGTCTTTGCGGTAAAGAACCTCGTTCCCAACGATGACTCCAGCGAAAGGGCTGGCGCCGTACTGAGAAATGATTTGATACATAGCATCGAGGCCGCGATTGCTGGTTGTGCTGTTGTTGTCCAGCCATACGCCTAACCAGACTTTCATATCCGGGAGTGATAATTTGTCGATGGCATGGAGAACCATCTGCGTCTGGTTACAGTCGGTTCCATATAATCGAACGGCGTTGGTAAGCTGCGACAGCACAGCGATGTCCATCGTGACATTATCTTGACTGGGAGGATTGGTCAAACACGCAGGATACTGCGCGTTGAATGGTGTGTAGTCCATTCCTGGAAAGACCTTGTGGAGATTAGAATTATCCATCAGCTTTTTGATCTCTGGTGAGTTCATATCCAAATCACTATCGGTCGGTCCAGAGGATTGGCCGGAGGATGAGGAATCAGAGCTGCTAGAACTGCGGCTGCGCAACGCAGCAATCACTCCGCCAACTATTCCACCAATAATTGCCAAAACAACAATGGTGCCCACAATCCACTGCAATCTTCTCCTTCCAGAGGTCTGCTTGCTGAGCCAAGCGCTCTTCTCAACGCCGTCATCAACGCCGGGTCCGGATGATCCAGGCACAGCACCGTATTGACCAGAAGGGTCCCGTGCCCCGTTGCTACCAGCAGCGGTCTTTCCGACAAGACCTCCCAGCGCCCCCAAGATTCCTCCGGTGGCAGCAGCACCTCCAGCTGCAGTCGCCGCACCTTCGCCGTTGAGACCTAGCATCGACCTCCTTGGCTTTATTGGTGGTGCCCCATAATCATCGCCATCATCTTCAATCTCGTTTGGGTCAATATCACCCCCGCCCTACTCGAGCATCCCAGGCGGTAGAGAAGCGTTTGTAAGGATTGTCCGTGTATGAGCTGCGGGCATTTTCGTAGACATCTTGTGGAGGATACTCACTCATGGGAATACTGTGCGTAGAAGGGTAGCCCCGAGGAGTGAGATCTCCAGGTGAAGGTGAAATGTCACCTCTTTCATCTTCAAAGGGATTAGACCTGCCTGAGAGAGCTGGCGAGGTGAATGGATCGCGACTATGGAATAGGGGAGCAGGTATATTTGGCGTATCTGACGGCATCGTGTCGTAGCGCTCTGGTGGAAGACCTCTAGCTGGTTGTGTGCCGTCCAGCGATCGTAATGCTTCTATACCACTTTCCCGTTCGTTCGTATTGGCAACGCCCAAAGCGATACCTGTCATTCCACCGCCAACAGCTCTATCCCCCCAGTTGTCAGCTCCCGGGGTTATTGTTGATGCGGTCCGGTTCGAGGCGGAGTGACCCAGGTCCCGACTACCGTAAGCACCCTCTCGGGCTTGTCTAGTGTTTACTGCAATCCGAGGGCGGGCCGTTTGAGAGTCGATAGGGCCGGTGGGTTGGGGGGGTTGGTAAGGCGTATATCGATGAGCTGGAGGTGAAGGTGGACGATCATTGTAGAGTCTGGTCGGAGAGTCTGTATAGCCTGGAGGAGGGGAAGGCTGCGCTTCTCGGAAGGTATTGTTGTCCTGTGAAAGGTAGTTTCTCCGGTTTGCGTCGAGAGCTATTTCGTCGTCGTCATCAAAGGAGAAGGTGCGATCTGGTGCTCGGGACATGTTGGGTATTTGGGAAGAAAAGTTGTAGGTAAGACTCTTCACACTCCTGTTCACACAGTAGAAAGTCGGAAGAGGAAGAGCTTATGGCTTGGGAAAAAGGGCACCCTGCCGCGAGACTTGAGCGTGGATCGGGGCTCGTATTTGACGGTCGCTAAGGGACCAACATATCTTTAATTAAGGGCATCCATGCTGGTAAAGCAGATCCGATGCCTAAAACGCGAAGATATCAAAAACGATGATGGTTATTGATGGTTGCAAGTCCACTCAGCTTTACGCATATTTAAACTAAACTCCTTTGAAACCAGAGTTCGTGAATGTCTATTTTTAGACTCCTTTATTGACTCGCTAAATTGACCAAGCAACAATCGCTCCCTAATACAAATAAGCACGCTTAATGCAACCCCCTCACTCCTTCATTATTCCTGAAAGCCAACTTTCATCACCACCTCATTCAATTGAGACTCGAGGCGAAGCACGACTGCATACAAATATCTTTGACGAGTCTGAGACTGTTGTTGCTTCTACTGTCACCATTGAAGGTGTTGCAGGCAGAGCAATCTCCTGTTCCGATGGGTGGTGGCCACTGGAGAGATCACCATCCACTACATCACTACTCATCTACATTACATCTTCTCACAGCTGTCCTTTGCTGGATTTAAGACCAAATCGGCTGAGAGGGCTAAAGATCTTGTATTAATTAGTAGGGGAATAACCCTGGAACGTAGAGGTCTCGGTAGAGTATCAATGGGTAGATATGTACATTTGCTCTGCGACAGGACATGCGGAGACACGAGATTGTTTAAGAGAAAGACTGCAGGCATGATAAGTTCGACGCCCGCTGAAATGAACATGTATGCATCCCATGTAAGAGCAGCCGTATGTTGTTGTATACGCTTCTCTTCTCGTCTCTCTCTCCTCTCCTCTCCTCTCCTCTCCTCTCCTCTCCTCTCCTCTCCTCTCCTCTCCTCTCCTCTCCTCCCCTCCCCTCTCCTCTCCTGTTCTTTCTAGTCGACCTGGAAAATTGGGCAGATGTCTCAGTCATGCAACCCAAACGCCTTTCTCAACATTGGGAACCTCTTCTTCTTGCCAGTCGCTCCTACAGGCATAGCCGTACCAGCCACGTTAGCACCTTCGCCCCGCACTGTCGACCTTCTCGTGCCCAAGTCTGGTCTGCCCGCCGCAGCGTTCATAGGCTTAGGCTGACCATCAGAAGTCTGTGGCCGATTCTCCGCGATCCCTGTTGTGACCCCCGGACTTTGCGCCAGCGGCCAAGAGATGTCGTTGGCGCTGGAAAGTCGTTTAGGAGTGTTCCTTCGCTGAAGCTTTGGGCTTTTAGGAGAGCTTTGCGCTGTGCTCGTCTGTGAAGCCACGGCGGGTGGCTGTAGAGAGATAGGATCTGCTTTTGGGGAGCTGGGTCCTAATAAACGTCCACCCTTGGAAGGCGTTATCACTTGTGTCTCTGCTTTTGCGCGCTCCAAAGCGCCGTCGCGGCGAGCAGCACTATCAGTATCTGGTATGCGTACGTTCGATGAATCACGCTTTTTACTGCCAAGCGATCCAAAAAAGGACCGCTTCTTATTCTCTCTTTCGGCGGCCTTCTTGGCTTGGAGGCCGGAACCCATGACTGTGGTGGGCCCATCACCAGAAGCAGCGCGTAATGAGCCAGTTGCGAGAGCCAAACCCTCAGGCTTCATGGTCGCGGGAGTTTTGGCGTCGTTCATCTTTGGTTTTGAAGGCGTGGCTCCATTCTCTACAGAGCTGTCTTCGAGGTCGGTTGAGTCTCCCTCATCAATGCGTCTGGGTATACCTCGGACTGGTGTAAATTCGTCGGGCTCATCGTCACTCGAGTCTGCGAAGCGGCTACCCAGATTTGGTCGGCCATCCTCTTCGTCACTGGAATCGCCAAAACGACTGGTGAAACGAGAGCCTGGCTTCGAATCTACTGGCTTAGCTTTGGAAGCTTTGCCGAAGCCGAACCGTGAGGGAGATTTGGGACGCTTTGAATCCATTGATCCTCGAAGGGTTGTCCGAGCAGGCTTGCCTGAGTCGATGGAATCTCGCATGGACGTTCGCATACCATTGCCGCCCGGGCCCACTGAGCTGAATGGACGCCGTGCCATGGAGCCCGTGGGCGACGATGTACGGCCACTCAATGATTGTGTAGTAGCCAGAGACTGAGGTCGATCATCCACTGATGTAGGTCTCATCGTCCGCTTCATGCTGTACCGGTTCGAAGTTGCGGTGGGTGCGGAGGCTCGGGCCTTTTTGAAACTGCTGGAAGAGTCGCTGTCATTCCGACTCCATTTCGGCTTCGCTATTGGCTTCTTATTCTTTGGCTGGGCTAGTGTAGGTGTTAGAGATGTTGCTGGTGTATCACTTGACGCAGCTCGTGAGTGAGTAGGCGCAGGTGAAGCTCGAGGCTTGTTGTATTCAATCATAGACACCGCAGATACTGGACGATTCTTCTTCTGCAAAGCGCCTCTTGGCTCTGGCTGTGACTGCACGCTATTCCTCTGATCACCATTCCTCAACGCCGACTTGGGAGGTGGTCCATTGCGCATTGAGGAGCGCATATGGGTTTCTTGTGTGTTATCAACCTGACCACCATTCCGCAATGCTGACTTGGGAGTTGGTCCATTGCGCATTGAGGAGCGCATATTGGTTTCTTGTACTTTATCTGCCTGTGTATTTCGCAATGCCGATTTGAGCGGTGGTACTTTAGGCGATGCTGGCCTAGCGATATCGTTACGGTATTGGTTGTCCGGCCAAGGCGGTAATGCCGGATCATTCGTTTCTGGGCCTGAAGTAGACGTTTTGGAAACCGTTTTGGAAACTTTCTTCTTTGTCTTCTTCACTGACTCTGAGCCCCTCGTCGAATTGTTCGGGATAACAGTCTTATCAGGAGCTCCAGGTGCAGCTGCCTGCTCCAATTGCTGTCTCCTATTCTGACTCAGTCCTGACCAGTATGCCTGTGCCCGGTCCCATCCGGCGTCCGATGTAGGCTCCGAGAGCTCACTCTCGTTCCTTGCCAACGGGCTAGGCCGTGCAGTCTTGGCAATAGGTGCCATGTTGGTGGGACTGACAGGCGGCGGTCTGCCAGCGACGGCTATGATTGGACTTGCTGCTGGACTTTCAACTATGGCATTAATAGAACCAAATCCATCGCCGTCAAGATCATCTGGGTCTTCTGCCGCATCGCTGTAGATACTGCCGCCTGTGTCCTCGGATTCGTCGCCACTCTGCGACTCGATCTGTGTCCGCAAACCCTCTGCAACTTCACCAACATGCGGACTCCCTGGATCATGCTGAGCAGCTGCAGCTTCTGGCTCTGGTTCTGCAATTCCGATTGTTGCTGGTGTTATTTCGGGATGTGTCTCTGCAACAGTGGCAGCGGAACCGTTGGATTTTTCTGCGGCTTCCGAAGCTGAAGGAAACCCGCCGGGCATCCCAAGCCATGAGGTCCGCTCGCTACGGCCGGTCTCCAGCGCCGGCGTAGCTGGTTGAAGAGAAATAGTGGGGACATCCGCGCTTGGCTGCTCAGCCGTTGGCGCATCGGATGAAGCCGTTTGTTGACTAAGAACGTCATCAGAGACTTGATGAGCACCTTCTTTGGTCCCCGGGCGCTTGACTTCTTGCTGCTCGTCGAGGAAGTTATTCTCTTCATCAGAATGATATCCACTTCCCTCAACAGATGTGACCTCCGGAGGCACGGGGTCTTGAGAGCCTTGATACGGCATTGGCTGTATACCATCCTTGTTATTCTTTGTTGCTGCGTTGTGCAACAAGAGGCCTCCAACGACCTGGTCTGTGGAAGTGTCCATGCTGCCCAGCGTGTCATTCGCCCCATCTCCGCTAGGCTTCTGCTCTTCGGCAGAGTCAAGCGCTAGCTCATCGTTGCGACTGCGTATAGGTCCGAAAGAAGGTAAAGCCGGGGTGGGTTTGATGACGCTGTCTTGGTCCGAATCAGACATCATCGACTCCTGGTTCTTCTCTCGAACGAGGTCAAACCAACTACGAGACTTGGGTTTGCTCTGCGGGCTAAGTATTACCGGTGAGTCGGGGCTCATAGGGGGGCTTGCGGCACGGCCTACAGCAACGGAGTCGTCGTCAAAGCTGACTCGCGCGCTCTTTTTCTTCTTCGGCACGGACCTTAATCCATCATCTGAGATGTTCGACGCAGTGTCGGAAGCTTCACTGGGGGCAAGACCTTGCCGCCGACTCTCGCCTCCAACTATGACTCCGATAGGGGAAGGTCCACGGGAAGGAGAATGCTTCAGGGCAGATTTGGCTGGCGAAACTGAACGTGCTGGCGGCTGGTGCTTTGTGCCATCTGGAGTCTCGTATTCCGGCTGAGACGAGAAATGAGCAGCTCTGGCTGGGCTCAGCGACTGAGGTCTAGCTGCGCCTGGCACATCCAAAGAAGTCCGCTTCGGCCCTTGCAGGGCAGCCTGTTGACTTGCAGACCTGTTGTGCTGACGTTCTTTTGACACAACCTTGGACGTGTTTGCTGGCGTTCCGACAAAAGCAGTACCACTCTTGATCACTTGACCGTTGGTTTTCTTCGTTGGTAGATGCCTCTCCTCTTGTTCTTCGGCCTCACGGTCTTCACGCACAACTGAAGGCTGTTTGGCTAAAATACCAGCTGCCCTGGTATTGAGACTCCGAGGTCGTTCAGTTGTGCTGCTACGTTCCGATGTTACTGAATCGGTATCAGATGGGTAAGCACTTCCGAACCCCTCACCCGTCTCTTGAGCTTGCGAGCTTGTATGCGGAGCGATCTTCTTTTTCTTCTTTTTGGGCCTTGAAGCCCCGTCGGCACCACTTGGCTGGGATCCAGTACTTGATGGTGAAGGTGTCGATGTGATCGAGGGTAGTTGCCGCTTAGGAGTCGCCTCCAAGAAAGCCCCCTGAGCCGGACCGTTGGTTGTGCCAGTCGCAAGATAGCTACCCTCAGCACTGTCCTTCGCCATCACTTTCTTCTTCTTTTTGACGGGTCGCGCAGCTGTTTCCTGTATGGACTCCATTATTCTATCAACCTCGCGACTTGGAAGACCAGATATCAGAGTAGCGTTTGTCGGAGGCGGAGATCTCACCCGACCGCCTGCCAATGGTGAAGCCGGCGGCGAATTTGTAGGGCTCATTGGTCTCGAAAAGTTGACCGATCCTCTGCTCCCAGCCCGTTCCAATTCGCCAACGGTATTCAGACTAGTCACCCTGGCCTTGGCTCCCCCTTGGTTCGGCTTGTACATTCCTGGTCCCCTATCCAGACTTACACCACGCCCTCCAGCCAGCCGTGGGGGAGGAGAGCTGACTCTCTCCGGTGGCTCGACGCTCGCTGCCCTTCGAGCGGCTTTGTGTGGTACGGAGACCGGCGAAGCATAGGTCTTTGGAAGTGCAGGTACTGGTGGAGGCTCATCTTGACGTGCATATGGCCCGTGTGAAGAAGCAGGACGGCCTGGTGAAGGATCCCGAAAGGTCCGCTCTGTCATCGACCCGTTGCTGCCCTGCCGTCCTAGTCCAGGCCGATCGGGGGCAGTGCCATTTGATGACGCAGAGCCACGCCTTTGCATGCGCTTTGTCTGTATCTGCCCGACTAGTATCGGACTAGTCGTTTGAGAACGCAGAGCTGCGGCTGCAGCGGCATTCGAGAGGTTGGCATTGGAATGTCGGTTGGCAAGAAACGCTTGCGTAGCAGCGGTAGAGGCAGCAGCACTCGGGACCGTTTTGACTAGCCGAGGCTACATCCTCAGGGTCAGTTGTAGGTCTGTAGTGTGACTGAGGCAGGGAAGAGGGCTTACGGGATTGGAGGTCGCTCTCTTGCGATTAAACATGGCTCTTGGAGATCTGTCGAGACTGGCCTACTGACGAGTCGAACAGCTCTCCAAACTTGCGATGAGCTTAAAGCTCTCGGATGACTATCGTCGCTGGATTCTTTGGTGGTGCATCTATGCGCAATTTCCCGAGTGGTGAGGCCACTTAATTTCCGATGCGCTGCGGGACTCTGGAATGACAGCGATAGAGCCAGGCTCTCACTCTTCCGAGGGGATGCTGAAGTCTTTAGACACTGTAGATAAACATCTCCACGGATGAAGGAGACTGTGTGTGTGAGAGATGTGGATGAGCGACCCTTACATACCTTTGGTGGTTGTACGGCGGCGCCGGCGCGGCAGGAAGCACGGAGATTTTAGGGCGACCTTAGGGCAAGATTTTCCTTTACAGCGCACCATTCAAGCAGGAAAGTGTTAGAACATCATATCAATGTGAATGGACATCGTATCAATGAGGAACACGGAAGAGATAGTGCTATGCTATGTCTGTCGAAAGTTGTAATTCGTGAAGGGCTATTGCCACCTTAAAAAGTTGGGCTTCCATATTTGCCCGCGGTAGGTGAAGCAACACAAGTACCAGTACCATTGTCCTGGTTCTTGTTGATGGTAAGGAAGAACAACGCCTTCACCAATTGGAGTCAATCCTTTCGCGTCTAGAAAATGAAACGTGTCTACTATTTGCTGCCTTCTCTTCCCACGAAATGGGTTCCTTCCCTTCCCGCAGGGTTTCAAGAACGTCATATTATAAGCAGCGCTTCAACCCTCTCCTACCACATCATCGAAACCAGCTCCAAGGCATTCCCTTCATCATCCTTCTCCTTCACTTTCTAAAGCTTGCAAATTCATGTCGCGTGGTTCTGCCATTTCTTGTCAGACCTGACTTCCATATCATCGCCTTTGAACAACGAGGGTACGGCAGTACCTCAGGATGGGACGCGTCCAGTTTCGAACGCGTTGAGCTGCGAACGTTCACTCATGCGAGACGCGATGGTCCTGGTGCAGTGGCTAGTATACCGCAAAGTGGAATGCATAGCTAGATAGTTACGATGTTGAATGCACTCCTGCTTCACTTGCACCTCTTAGCAGGCCTGACATCTTCCGCAAAGCTGTTCTATCAGGACAACCTTTCCTTGGCGCACCTAAAATGCTACTCATATTGCGCCTGAGAAGGAGAAATTGCCTGCAAAGCCTGGTTGCATCAAGAGCTGAGATAGCTCAATCCATCAAGGAAGGATTCTAGATCGTATTAAGTGATACCGTAGCGCAGGACATGAAAGGAGAAGAGACTAAGAAGATGCGCAAGAACAAAACCCAGTGGATCCTGAAACCGAACTCGACGTCTGTGTCAACAAGTTTAGGCGTACGGGCTTCCAAGGGGGCCTGATCAAACTGGTTGTCATCAGCGTAGAAATACAGAGGGATTTCGACACTTTTGCTAGCAAGGAGATCGAAATGCCTCTCTTATACATCACTGGGACGAAGGATTGGCTAAACTACCAGCATCCGGGTTTCATTGACAAGCTGAGGAAGGGCTGCGCCGGTTTCCACGGTCTAAAGTAGATTGAGGATGTCGGGCACTGAGTCCAGCAACAAAATAGCTGTCGAACTAATCCTTCCATTCTTGTGCAAGCAATGAGAGTCAAAAGGCATTAGGTCACTAAGTTTGAGAGGTGATGCTAGTTATAAATGACACATCATCTAAAGCTATGACTTATCCAATTCTTCTGGCAAATTCACAGTCCTTGCAGCGTTTGCGTCACTGAGGCTTGCAATGCTGGTTGTCACGTTGAACCGCCTTTTGCTACAGAAACTTGCACTATTCTGTTTGCTTCCGTTTGAGAACGCAGACGGAAAGAGCCAAATCCTAGACCTTTAAGAAGCTGAAGGGCTAGACAACGTCACCTCATCTCAGCATTGCCCTGGAAGTGATGGTTTGGAGAGCTCCCAATCTAAAGGATTCGTTCTATGTTTTATCCTGTCTCGGTTAGGCAGCGCTCGAAAGTCGAACTCAGATGTTAGAGACAGGCGATCCATCTCTGTAGGCTCAACCAATTTTTCCAATTAAAGTGCAAAGCCGAAATGCGTTCCTTGCACTATAGTCCTTGAACTCTCTCAAAATTTGAGAAACCTGGTGGCTTGATGCTCAATATCCCACACCTCAAAACTGTCGGCTCTCTCCGACCTCACACACATCGAACACCCCTGTATCCGGTATGCCGCTTCTCGTGAGAGCTTTTTTGAGCAGCTGAGGTGGTTCGAGCACATCTTCCTCTGTCAACACCCACTATAGCACATTTCCGAGTCAGCATTCGCATTCGTAGATGGAAATTTGAGTAATAAACCATGTTTAAGGGACAGAAAGGTGGTAGAATGCGGAAATTGTCCCTCCGAAGTGTCTCACGACTCAAAAAGCAGTCGCGTACAGGAAGAGATAACTGCAAAAAGTGCCTTACAGTTCCCCAGTGTATACCCATAGCTCGCTTGCATTTTGTGTCCTTGTAGATTTCGACACTGTCAAACGGATTTGCATGCATAGGTGACATAACCCAGCGGGGATCCTGAACAAAGATTCCAAAGTCAGCATTGCTGTTCCAATAGAGGATAACACGCTCCGCGTAGAAAGTCACGAAACATGACTCAAGACCCAGCATGTCACTCGGACAAAGAAAACTGGGAAGAGAGAGTACGTACGTATGCGCCAATAGGGATGAGGCCAAGGTCGAACGGTCCTCGAAGGTCACCAATGTCCTTGAAGGCGGGGCAACGTGGGTAGACGTGCTCTTCATCGTAGTCATCGACGCCTTTAGGGAGCTCGGGCACAGCACGGTAGCCAGTGTCCCCTCCAAACCATACTTTCTTACCTCCGCTCTCTACACTCCAGCTAGCCCATAGAGTGAGTCCCTTGTCGAATAAGGTCCGGGCGCTTGTGTGCTGGCACGGTAGGCATCCAATGCGAGCGGAAATGCTCTTCTCTTCTGCCAGGTCCGACTTAACATCTGTTTTTGACACAGCAGGCTTGCTCGCGGAAGTTGCCAAGTCAATGTCTCGCTGCTCCCACCAGTCAAGCTCTGTCACACCCTCATTAATGCCTGACTCTGCGAACCATTTCTTGTTGCCGAGCGGAACGAAGAAGTGGACTTTTGGATGCTTCGCCTTGATCTTCGTGATAGTAGGGTGGTCCATGTGGTCATAATGATTATGTGATATAACGACGGCGTCAATGGTAGGGATATCTTCAATTTGACAGGGCACGTCCGTATAGCGCTTGGGACCTAGCCACGTGAACGGGCTGGAATAATCGAATGCCATTAGCTGAAAGCAATGCTCGAGCGATAACTACTGACCTGCATCGCTCGCTGAAGACTGGATCGAACAGGACGCGGAAGCCTCCGGGAAATTCCACGAAATAACAGGCATGACCTAACCATGTGGCTCGGAGGGTATCAGTGCTTCTGGAAGGAAGGAAGTCGGGCTTTCGAACTGTCACTGTTGGAGGGGTGGTATCAGGTCTATTTGCAGTGCCTTTGAGGCGGCGCCTGGAGAGGGTTGAGCCGAGGGTGTTACCACGGACGAGCAAACGTACATTATCATCGCCTTCGCGATACTTGAACCAGATAGTTCAATCCAGCTATCCTATAAAGGAAGACGTACCGATGAGTATAATTCGTGGCCCGCTATGGGAGATTCAGTACACACCCATGGATTAGTGAAACCCTTGCCATCTTTCAGGTGATGCAGCTTGTCTTTGGCTTCCTCAGGCTCAGCTCCAGTGACCGAGGCTGGAGATATTGTGGCTGCATAGAGCGAGACAGCTATTCCCGAGCTTGACATTCTGTGAGATGTGGAAAAGGGTTTGCGTGTGGAGGTTGGCTTCTTTGGGAGACAGAAAAAGCGACGCAGAAATGCTTGCATGAGGAGATGGAGACGGAGACGCTGGAGGAGACGGGTAGTATTTGAATCGTAGAAATGCAGTGTCAGATAGGTAGAGAATCGCAGCCTAGAAAGAGTACCTAGCTCAAAGGAGAATGAGAGCTTGAAGGAGCGGACTCGGTCCGACCAATATGCCGCGTCTTCGGTGTCCGTTACATCTTCTCTCGTGCGATTGGGTCTCATCTATGCAGTGGTGCAGGATCGAATATCGGAGTACGATAACCGTGAATAATACCACGAGACCGTGACAGGAGATCTGGGAGGGTCTTGAACATGTGGCTTGCTCGATTCTGGGGAGAAGCTGAGTCAGCCAGCAAAGACCACCATCAATTAAATCGCAATTTGGGTTGAGCAAGATGCCGTGAAGATCGCTTGCGAATGGCGAACGATGCCGTCCCGGTGCCCAGATCAGATGTGATCCATCAGTATGGGCATAGAGGCGCCCTTGATCCCTTTGCTGTTCCAGAGAAAAGCAATGATGGCGGCTTCCTGGCACAAGTTTCCGGCAACCCTTTCTTCACTGCTGTGAGTACGTCAGAAACACGCGGATGGCATTCCCAGAACGCTGACAGGCTTTCCAGGGACTGGGTCTCGCTGGATTTGGTGCCGTTCTTGCAGTTTGCCAGAAAGGTGTCCGCCATGGCGCAAGTCTTGTCAAAAGACGTTTACTCGTCGACGTTGAGATCAATGTCAAAGATGAATCCTATCCTTGGTTCCTATACTGGATGACCGTTCACCAACGCAGTCAACTACCATCCTTTTCTCGGTCTACTACTCCCAGTCCTGGCAAATTGGGCAGACCTGGGCTCATAGAGTCTCTAATGCGCCGCTTTACCCCAGGAATCCATCACCTTTCTATAGAAACGGAAAAGGTCGAGCACCCCAACGGATCAGTTCAGACCGAATTTACGCTCATTCCGGGCCCTGGAAAACATATCATTAGATACCGAAATGCGTTTCTCGTGGTCAACCGCTTGCGCGAAACAAGATCAATGAACCACAACACAGGTATCCCATGGGAGACAATCACGTTAACGACACTCTACTCACAGCGCAACATTTTTGAAGACATCTTCTCAGAAGCACATCAATTGGCGCAGCAGTTTTCCGAAGGCAAGACGATAGTCTATCAGGCCAGGGCTACATCTTGGGAAAAATTTGGTGAGCCTCGCCGGAAAAGACCCCTTGAGTCTGTCATATTGGACAAGGGGATAAAAGAGCGCATCCTTTCCGATGTCAAAGGCTTTTTGGGCAGTGCGAAATGGTACTACGACCGAGGCATACCGTATCGAAGAGGGTACCTGCTACATGGACCTCCAGGCAGTGGAAAGAGCTCCTTCATCCGGGCTTTAGCTGGAGAGTTAGACTACAACATTGCCATGCTTAACCTCAGCGAGCGAGGCTTGACGGATGACCGACTGAACCACCTCCTTACGATCATACCACGAAGGACACTAGTGCTACTCGAAGATGCCGATGCAGCGTTCGGCAATCGAAGAACCCAGACCGATGATGACGGTTATCGCGGCGCGAATGTCACGTTTTCGGGGCTGCTCAACGCATTGGATGGCGTGGCGAGTGCTGAGGAGCGCATTGTGTTCTTGACAACGAATTATGTGGACCGCCTTGACAGTGCCCTTATCCGGCCTGGGAGGGTTGATATGGCAGTCAGACTTGGGGAAGCTACAAGATGGCAGATGGCTCAAATGTGGGACCGCTTCTATGGTGAATTTGATGTGCAAGGGATCTTCAAGGCCCGATTCCTGGAGCGTTTGGAGCAGCTTGGATTAATCAACCCCGAGACTGAGGAGAAAAGGCTCCCTGCAAGAAGCACGAGCGCAGCAGCTGTACAGGGGCTATTCTTGTACAACAAAGGTGATATGGAGGGAGCTATAGGAATGGCGCCAGGTTTAGTCCCTGAAGGCCAGGAGGGTGACAATGTCTCCGCTAGTGAAACTAAACCACTCGGATGAGGATCTCGTCATGAGATTCAACATTGGCTGCGAGCTTCAGGTTTCCCATGGCACCGTGTATATATTGCCGTGAACATGTGTATGTACTGTGCGGCTGTACAAATAAGGGGTCTGACCTGTCCAGGAACAAGTGACAGCATCCACATCAGGCCTGCCGTCAGCAAAGACACCAATTCTGATCTCAGTGCTCCGCAATGAACTGGCGCGTGAGCAAGCAATCAAGATTTTAGTTGGACGAGACGATCTACTATAACCATCTTCCGATTACCTTTCAGTCTGCCTAAGAGCCAAAGGTTGGGAATCGTAGTTCAGTCCAGAGCCCAAAACCGTAATTGATCTCAAAAGTGAAGAAGGGGTACCCAGATCACAAAAACAAGAACAAAACTAAAGATAAAGAAAAAGTGATGCTCAAGAACGGTTTCGAACCGTTATCTTCAAGTTGATCAGTCCGGGAGACCTAGAACACCTACACATTGGCAAGCGCTCCCGGTCTAGGGAGCGACCCCGACCCAGATGAGGTCCTGACGTTCTGCCATTGAACTACCTGAGCGATTGTTGGTAAATGGGTCTGTCTTGTTCAGGTACTCGTTCTTTCAGGCAAGTCATGCACTCGCAAAGTACCGGTCCATGGGAGAAGCATGAAGTGCCCGAAGTGAAGTGGAAACAGACTGATTTCATGCTGCTGTCTGGGCCAGTGATTGATGCTTTTGTCTTCGTTGATCTGGCCTAGGAAATTGCCATAGCACTAAGGCGGTTTTTGCTCATATAATTTCAGAAGCCGTACTCTCACTCTCTCAATCCTGACCTTGCCCCACACAAGTCCATTTCGCAAGCATTTTGCTCGAGAGTCTCTCATACACTGTCCAACGTCTCCCAAGTCAACCTATCCCGAGTTTTGAACATCTTATCGTGTCAAAGTTTTGCGGAGACGCCATCCGTCGTTCTCGCCTCATCAGTGCTTTTATCGTCTGTTTTGACCTTCTCGACCTTCTCTTTCCTCCCTGCAGCATTCTTGTTTGCTTCTTCGCCGCTTGGACATGATAGTTGATCACCATCCTCTACAGAACGCGCCCGATGAAGAATGATGAGTGGCCAAGCGTATGGTTTGGGTTTAGTGGGCGACCCATTGTCTTCAATCCGACATGATGGTAACGGTCCCTCTCCCTGATAGACACCATTAATGATTAACGGCCACTCATAATGACGTACAGGTTTTGATCGAGTTAGGCGTACGTCGTTCTTCTGGGCAACGGCTCCAGCGACATGCTCTCGATGCTCTTGCGAAGGCCCTTCTATGTTCAGCACACCCGCTGATAGAGATCTCGGAGAGACAGATCCTATGTTTGGGCCGTGACCGGGAACGCTCTGTTTTGAACAATGCGTACCACGATCGGGAAGTAGGGGAATGAGGGTATCTCTTTGTGCATGTCCACTGGTCCAGGGATCAAATCGCTTCTCGTTGGGAGTCCTTGGAGCAGATGGAACATTGGACTCGTCAATGAAGACAGTCTTTATTTGACGTTGCTGGGGATTATCGGACAGAAGTGGTAGGAAGCCTTTTTTGTGTGCAATGGTATCCGAGTCCTGGAAGCATGATCGTCAGCATGACGAAGCTAGGATCACCAGACAAGTACCCAGATAATGGAAAAACATCTTGTTTACAGGAAATTCTGAATTATTTCCTGCTTCTGGCTCATGGCCTTTCGCTGTGCTGTCTGTCATCTGTGCGACCGAAGAACTGAAACACAGGCTGTCCGCCAGTCGTCGCTAAAACCTTTTCTTGTCTGACCTTCAAGACTGTCTGAAGATCTGGAGACGGATCTCTTGCAGACACAGATTTTTTGATAAGGGTGAAGTTCCGGTGATGAATCGAAAATAGAAAGTAGCTGGGTGGGCAGAGGTATAGACAGATCGACGTCGCAACACTCTAGGGTATGTTGAGGGTATACGACACAATAGCAAAAGCATTGCCCGCTATTTAGATACACAACAGTGCCCTGGACGGCCATTTAATGAGAGTTGGTAAAGAAAGAAAGCTCACTAGACAGGACGTGATTACTGCCTTGACAGCCAGGTGATGAATAGAGTCCGTGACGAGACCTCTAAAAATTGTGGAGCAGGATTGCAACAGCCCGGGTTGCAGAAGCAATAGGAAAATGATATGACTCTGGCAGCAACACGTGCTAGAAGTACAGGTTGATGTGGGCGGGCGAAGGTCCCGTAATTTGCCAGCCATCTGCTGGCTTCGGTCTTGGTTCCAAATTAAGAGGTTGTACAACAGCTTTGCTTCGGCGGTACCATTGCAACATTGATAGAAGAAATCCTCCCCCAACTTTGGATTGAAACTGCTAGATGTACGTATTGATGATTTTTTGTTAAGCCTTAGCTATCATGATCAATCTACTATTAGATCGATCGAGCTGCAATGGCTACACCGCGAGTCTCGCGTTCATTCGCTTGGACAATTGCATTCTCGACCCGTCATATATCTTTGTTCCGTTCCCCGTATGCCTACCAATAGGGAGAGAAACTTTTAGTCACTCGAAGTCTGTCTCCATGAGCGATACGCAGGCACTGGACATCAACCGCCCTCTGATAGAATTGCTGGCGACCACATACGTACTCGAACTCAGTATAGAGGAGACTCAGGCACAGGAGAAAGTCGAAATAACATGTCAGATTACGAATAAAACCAGAAAACCAAAAAGGCAGGCGTAATCATCGGCTTGCTGCAGACCGTGACCGAGATTCGAAATGAAAAAGCCTGCAGCGAGAAAGGGACTCAAGTGGCATTCGACAGTAAGCATGATAGCCAGTCGTCTAGCAAAGGCGAGGACTGCGTCCAGAAGATTGTTTCAAATCTTCAAGTAATAGGTACACTTATCCCTCTTAGTGAACAAAATAGATTCATCGACTCTCACCCTCTGTGAAGACGGGTGCCAAATTTTAGTGTGGACACGTGATTCCTGCCCGCGTCTCCTGCTCAATGACGTGTAGTGGGGCTCGAGAATCAAGAACAAAGGGTACTCATGACCAAGTTTGAAATCGTCTTCATTATTCTCCCACTCAACTTCTACACTCCCACAGACCCTTCTTACTACTATTGATTTTCCTTTCCTATCCTGAAGCCACCATCAAGATGATGGAATACTTCACCTCCAAGCGAGCTAGATCCAAGTCACCAGCGCCTCAGACACAGGTTGAGACTCCTGTCCTGAATGAAGAGGACGAAGCATTCCTTGCGCGTATAGAGACTGAGGGTACACCGCCCGAGTTGCCTGCACGTCCTGCTCCACCTTTACCCACTCGTCCCCAAGATCTTCCCCACGTTGGTGAGACTGAAGGCAACAATGCTCAAATCGCACTCTTGGACGGCTCGCAAAACATAGCTCTACCAGATGTCCCAGACACCCCAGATGACGTCCTCACCACCGCCGAACCTGACGATATCGACGAAGGAAATGCGAAAGGAAAGCAAAAGGAGGGCAAGAAATCCAAGTGGAGCTTCCTACGGAGAGACTCCAGAGATGTCAAGCGCAAAAACAAAGAAGCTACAGCAACGGACCTGATGAGCGCGGCAGAGGGCTTAAAAACAGCCGATGCCCAGCCCAACGAGGATCACACCGTTTCTGATACGGAAGAGAAGAAAGAAGAAGAAGAGATGAGCTCCGTTCTGGAGCAACTAAATCTGGCAGCAGTCAACAATCGCGTATTCTCTGTTTCGAAAGAATCTCAAGAGCTCCTCCGCAAGTATGTACCTCCCTTCATTTCATGTCCGGTACCTTGGATCAAAGTAATGACCATTCTTTAGATTCACCCTCGTCCTCAAAGACCTTACAAATGGCGTCCCTACGGCCTATGGCGACCTTGAATCCCTTCTCACAAATTCCGAAGATCAAATCCAGCGTACATACACACACCTCCCACCTTGGCTTCAGAAGCTTGTCGAACAACTCCCGTCAAAGATGACCAAAACGATTGGGCCAGAGATGCTTGCAGCAGCTGCTGAAAAGCATGGAATCAACTCTAAGTATGCCAATATGGCTGCTAGTGGTGCGTCCAGGGCAGGATTGAAGGTCAGGGTACCAAGTCTGAAGGACCTTGTCACCAAACCCGGTGCTGTGGCTGCCATGCTGAAAACGATTATGAACTTTTTGAAGCTCAGATTTCCCGCCTTTTTGGGCATGAACGTTCTCTACTCGCTCGCTTTGTTCGGTACGCTCTTTCGCTCCCTCATTCGCGTTTGTCACGAGATGTCTGGATTTCCTGTGTGTAGATTCCGTTTGCTGACGAGTGTGCAAAGTCCTTCTTTTCGTCTTCTGGTACTGCCACAAACGCGGCAAAGAGGTTCGTCTTGAAAAGGAGCGGCTGCTCACAGAAGCGGAAATCGCTGCTCTGGACGACGACGCGCCCACCACCTCCTCAAATGCGCCACCAACGACCACCGCCCCGACTGGCGCACCTATCGAACAGGTAGAGGCGGGGATGAGAGAGGCTGAGGCAGTGGAGCAGCAGCAGGGGGGGGAGGGGCCAGTCCGCGGAGGATGGCTCATTAGCTCAAGAGCTAAGGAGAGAGGAGCGTGAGAAGGCTATGTTAAGCCATGCTGCGCGCACCAGAGGGACTGATCATAGGTAGAGGTCGAGGTGAGGGAGGCAAGCATGGACACACATCAGGGCTAAACCCGACAGAGGGAGCAAGAAAGTGGCAGAAGTCAGAGGCTCGGTGGGTTACTTAATCCATCAGGGTGCCTCTGCGTATTCGGGAATTTTCTCGAGGTTATACCTTGGCTTCCAAGGAATCCAGCTCACGCAGCTGGCCACAACAACAAGAGTGCAAGCTGCGTGGATGCTATTGATGAGGAATGATTCTGTCTTGATAGCAGTAAGAGAATGTTGACATGCTTTCTTCATTTGCGGAAATGATTTAAGACATTTTTACAGGCAATTGGTGCGCAATACTTTTCTTATTCCAGTCAAATGATGTCTACAGCATACCGCTAGCCCAAGTCCAAGCGAGGTGGGCTCTCTCTTGCTTGGCATACACCTGGAAGGAAAGCCCCGCCAGGACATGGGATAGACACAGTAGTCAGTCAACAAGCAAACACTGTGCCATTCGAAGAAACGCCGACCTCTCCCTTTTGTTGTCCCGTCTTAATTGCGCGAGAGTGCGCCTTGTTTGCAGTCAGTCCTCTAGTTGGCATTTACTCGCAATAGGCGATGACTCGATGTCGTCAAACAGGAAATGCGCTATTCTCCTACCGCCGCCCAAACAACGATTGAAGGCATTCCGACGCGTATAAGCCGCTCATGTGGATTGTGCTGTCGATTAATCGTGGATTAGAGACTTCGGAAAGATTTGGCAATTCTAGGCCCCATGCGGAGGGAGGGAGGACATTGCTTCCGACGTGGATGCGACCAAAATATCTCTCTGCCGAATTTTTCAAAGTCATGCGTTCGAGAACTGCGAGTAAAAAAGTTCGAGTGTGTTTGGGGTCAAAAGCAACCATGGTGGTAGAGTCAGAGCGTTGACATGAAAGGTTCTATCCACACGAAACGCAAACACACATAGTGTCAACCGCGCCCAAGTCAGAAATCCAAATAATGCGGCAGAGCTTCTGGGCCAGGGGATTCTGGAAGGGTACGACCAGACGTAAATCCCTTTTTGCTACATGTGCACCCTCGAATGGTTACTTTTCCGGGGACAAATGTACATCATTAATACTCCGCAGTCTGACAATATACGCTGACTTTACGCAACTTCGTTTACGCGAAACTCTGAACTTTGATTCCGACGCGACTCTGTAGGAACAAAATCCTACTCTTATTAAAAACAATGATGCAGGGGTATGAGGCATATACCGGATGCATAACAGTTTTGCCTCCAAATTTGCCTTGTTTGGAGGCAGCTTTGCAAAGAAAATTTTCGTCGCCTGAGCGAATTACGCAGAAGTCGGATCCGACTGCTGGAAGAATTAGAGATCTGAGAGGCCATCTTTGATGCACGTCAGACTCTTTGTTGATTTGCAATTCCTTGATTGCATATTTCCAACCATTTTTCGATTGTCCGGAGATGATTGTCATCAAGTAGTACACCTTCAATCCGTTTTCTGGGCCGAAAGTGTCTTCCGTGAGCCATATCCTCTCCCCCTTCGGAAAATCCTTTCGGTACATATTCGCTCCTACGCTTTTACGATACTTTGAACCTGAGACAGATATGCTCGACGGTGTGCTCGTGTGCTCGTGTGCAATGTACATGCAGCAAAAAGGGGTGTACGTCCAGCTCGATCCATCAGCTTCTGAAAAGGAGAGGCGGAGAAGCATACCATCCTCTCCAAAAGCGAGTACCCTTTCTGTCAAGAGATGACTACTGCTGCTCCGCATTCAATCTCCGCACGTCTACAACGAGGCTCAAGCAGCGGTACAGTCTAAAATCTGGAACCTCTGGGCTCTTTTCGGCAGTATCGGGACGGAATATTCCCTCTGTAGTCTGTACTTGATGAATAGACGGACCGGATCTGTGACCATTATGAGTGTCACGAGCATAGTAAGCTCAATACTCGTCCTTGGTACTTTACTCCATAGTCTTTACCCCTTGGTCCTCCACCTAATTGGCAAATTAATCCCACTCTTTTGAGGGGTTTGGCACCCCGCCTCGTTGCCAAGTGCGGCGCCTGCGAGTTGGCATTTGCTAAAAGCTCAGGGCATGTATCCGTAAGGTATTTTTTCAACAGTGACTACTTTAGTGATCTTCAGCGACTTAACCGTATTGACCCGGTGGTGACCGGAGGAAGGTCTGCGGTTGCGGCGAGCGAATCGCTTTCTCTCCTGAGTTTCAGACCAATGGGGGGCGAGCACCCTAGTTGGGTTTTAAGGGTCCTCTTGGCGTCTCAGAGTTGAGGCCACTGTTTGGTCTTGACCACTACTACTCCGTACCGCCCACGACTTGGCATTCTACCGATTGTTGTTCGACATGACAGGAGCAACTTTCTTGAGACAAATGAAGATGAGAAGAAGGAGAAGAAGAAGAAGAAGAAGAAGAGGAACAAGAATAACAATGGAGATAAGAAGGCGTGACGTATGAAGATGAGAGGCCGTTAAATCTTAACAGCAATTACGGCTTTGTGGTGGGCACTAATGCAACAAATCATGCAATTCCCCGGATCTCGTTATGTAAAGTACATTAATAAGTGAGGGATTATTTTTAGGAGACTGCGGGCGCGTGCCTGCGGATTTAACTTTTCGTGGGCAGAAATATGATCGTCGGACCAACTGACGGAACATGATGGAAATTAAATAAAGTAAGCTAAAGTACCAAAATTAAGTACTAGTATAGTATACCTAAGAAAAAGAAGGGGAAAGGGCGAGGATTCAAAGTGAAACAGGGGCGATCATGTCTAGCGTCTCGCCGGAGATGCCTCTTCCAACCACTTTTACGCCTTGAAGCCGCTTTAACGGTGCAAAGTTAGCGGCACACGTACCTGACTAACCCGTTTCAAGACGCTGCTAAGGAAATTCCTGAGCTCCTCTCCCTCATACATGTACACCCTCTTCAAAACACCAACCTTTCATCCCTGCCTTACACCTTTGACAACGGCACTACCACTCTTTCATTGGTCGCTCACGGGCCAACACTCCTCCCAAACTAATAGAACGCCTCGTAATAATACCGAAATGCCCTTCCAACCCGCGAATGGGCCCAGACTGCCCATGTTGCTGTTATATCAACTTGCCGCCCACCCCCCCGATGCACTCTTCTTCCATCTTCCGAATCTCTAAGTCTGCGTGTCTTGTTGCGTCTTCTCACTCTTTCCTGCATCAATAGTCGGGTCACTCGCTTCCTCGACTGTTGTTCCTTCCCTTCACTGTCTATTGCATACCATAATACACTCTCTTACACGACAGTCATACCACATCTAATACCGCCGACATGCGCTTCACAGCCCTCTCTGCCCTCTTTGGCCTTCTGGCTGTTCAGCAGGCTGCAGCCGTAAGTGTCTTGCTTCCTCCGTCTTTCTTCTTGCGTCTGAGAAGAGCTACATCTAATTCTGCCGCTGACAGGGAGCGCCTGGCTCGGATTGGCAATGTGCTCCGGGTTTCGCTATTTGTTCAAAATCTACCAACCAGTGTAGCAACCCGCAGAAGGGTGGTATCAGTTGCGCCGAAGAGTCCCAGCCAACATCGGGCTCTTGTACCGGCGTTCAGGGAATGGGTGTCCAAAATGGAAATTACGGCCAGATGAAATGCAACAGCAACAGCAAGAGAAGCCTTTTCCCGCGTGGAGGAGGTAGCTCTGCGGGCTCGACCGTAAGCAGATGTTCGCAATGGGCCCTGACTACCAATACTAATGTCTGATCAGGATCAGAAATGTATCATGCAAACCTGCGGCACAACAAAAGGCAGCGGTATCACAGTCAACAAGGGATCTGGCTCGCAGTACTCATGTACTTCCCACCAAATCGTAGTCGAACAACCCACTATTGTTCAGATAACCCACTACAACGAAATCAGCGGCCTCAGCTGCTCATACCACCAGTTGTGCAATGCCAACGAGGTCACAACCATGAACAACGCCAATTGTGGTCAAAGTGACTACCATGAGGTCTGCGTTCACCCTAGTTCCCCATCGGGACCCCAGGTACCTATCGGCATTGTGGCAATGAACTTCCAATGCACGCCGGGCCAATCGTCAAGCTGCTCTGCTCCTGCATCGAGCAGCACACCGGTACTTGTTCCCTCCAAGCCGGTCAGCCCTCCTCTCTCCACTGCTCCCAAGGTTTCGCCTTCTGTTACTCCTTCTGCATTCTCGCCAATTGAGTCTGGAACGACTTCTTCGCCCGTCGTCTCGCCATCTTCTACTCCTTCGCTCAGTGAATCTGGAACGACTTCGCCAGTTGTCACGCCATCCTCAAATTCTTCTTCGCCAGTCGTCACGCCATCGTCGACTTCTTCGCCTGTCGTCTCGCCATCTTCGACACCTTCGCCATCGGTTACTCCGTCTTCGCCATCTCTGATTGAGTCAGCTACTTCCACGACTTCAGTGCCGATCGAAACCGAGTACACTAGCTTGACCACCTACACCACAGTGACGAGCTGCCCAGTGACCTCCACGACTGTTGTCAGCGGTAGCACTTCCATCATCGTCAAGACCAGCTTGATCACCAGCACAATTACTACCTGCACACGCTGCGCAGAGAAGACTTCCTCTTCCACCCCAATTGAACAGGGAAGCACCACACCAGCTCCAAGTCCATCAAGCCCTGTCGTACCATCGCCACCAGCTCCAAGTCCATCAAGCCCTGCCGTACCATCGCCACCAGCTCCAAGTCCATCAAGCCCGGCCGTACCATCGTCACCAGCTCCAAGTCCATCAAGCCCTGCCGTACCATCGCCACCTGCTCCCACGACCACTACGCCTGGCTCTCTTCAGGAAGTTGGCACCACCAGCTCTGTACCATCTCCTCCAATTGTTTACACATCAACTCCAGTTGTTATTACAACCACAACCGAGATGTAAGTAACCCACTCCTGCTGTTAGCGCGTAAGCTAACGTGGCTCTGATACAGTGTCTTGACCACTTTGACGAC